CCGGACCCGGCAAGGTGACCTTGGCCGCGGGCAGGGACCCCCGCTGGGCCCGCTCCCACGGCCGCCCCGGGCTCTTCTCCCCGGCTCGACCCCGTCTTACCCGCTGTCCGGTAGCGCAGGGTCGGGTTTGACCTCTGGTTACTCCCTCAGTTAAAGATGAGAGGTTTCCCTGGGAAATCTCCCTCTGCGCTGGGCTCCGCGGCCGGCGAGATGCCTCCTGCCCTGAATGAATGGGCTCTGGGTAGGCATCAACGGGTCCCTCAGTGCCACGACCTTGCCTGCCTTTAGTTTCGCTATGACGACGTCTTGGTTTTCACAATCTGTTTCTGCAGAGCTGTTCACATCACTCACTGTACGGGGTGGGCTGTGTTTTTTTAAAAGCAATACACAGCATGACACGCTGATAGCTTTGGCATGTGTGTGTTAGTACAATGGGTGCAGTTTGACATTGAGAAGCTTTCCGTCCGGTGTCCCAACCCTGCAGACAGTTGTGCTTTTAAGTAGGGGAACAGTTCCGTTGATTTTTCCTCCATGCTTATTTGTCCTTAAAATTAGGACTATGCGCATGCCTGCAGTGCTTCAGAACTGTAACAAACCATTCATAACATTTCACTTAAAACTGTGAGTTTTAAGAATGATCGCAATTGTGTATGTGCAGTTCAGAGCTCTTCATGTGACAGGCTGTCAGGTCGACTAGACAGAGGTTGTGGCTTTGCAAAATGTATATATCAAAGCAAATCTTTAAATGCAGTTTATGGAGCAAGAAGTGAATTATCTGACATGAAAGGTATGTGTTCCATGTTGGTGCAGAAGTCTCTTTTAGAACCATAAATAATATCTGAAAAATGGGAATGTTTATTTCTTGTTCCTGTAGTGGCCTTATGCTTGAAAGCTGACAAGGAACTCAGGGGTTTAGTTGCCTAATGCTTTTCCATTAGAAAAGATGTTTAGTAATTTTAAGTAAACTGAAACTTCCATTGTTTATAACAGACCTTTGAAAAGTGTCAAGTGCTCCAGAGCACTGTTTTGCCTTGTGAAATTCTATTCAGGTTTGTCTGACAAACATACCCAGATATGTTTATGTTTCCATGGCACTGGTTGCTTTATCATAAAATATTAAGTATGCCAAATTATAAACAAGAACTCGTTCCATTCTGCAGCTGTACATGTACATGTAGGAGTTCTGTACATGGAAAGTCTCTCTCGGAGACTGAAAGAAATGGATACAGGGTTGATTTTGATGCAGCATTTTTCTCTTCAGCAGGCCTTGTGCTTTAATTTGGTGTTTTCTTTCATCCTGAAGTGGCAACAGAAGAAGAAAATGTGCTTATACATTCTGCACTAGTGCTCTAGACCAAAGATTCCCAGTGTTAGCTTGCTGATGGCACCGAGTAAAGGTCTTGATGAAATTTGGGTTTTTCATTAGATTGCCAAAAAAAGGGCACATGGGCTGCAACTCTTTGATTTTACCGTTAGCACTAAACCCAACGTGATGGCCTCAGGCACATATATCTCTTCATGTGTGATAGTGTTCTGATTTCTGTGCTTTTATGATTGATCCAGTAACTGAAGTGTCTTTGCTGGCAACCTCCTCCGTGGTATTGACACCAAATGACTTGGTATGAACTCTGGAAGTCTGAACAACCCAGAAGTTGCTTCATACTCCTGTAGTATATGACTGAAGATGATGATGGCCTTTAAATGTGAAGTGAGTTCGTGGCCTAGTTATGTAAACTGTGAACAGAGTGCTGATAACACAAACTTTCTCAGACTATCTCAGTGAAAATGACTGTTTTCTCGGTGGGGGCTTTCAAAACCTGTATGGTTGTGATGATTGTTTTTGTAATATTACTGTGAAGTTTGCTGGAGTTTCCAATAAACAATCAAGGCCAGTTGTTATACTGGGAAGGAAGAAAATAAGGTTTTTCACTTACAATTTAGTTGTTTGTTATGCGGGGTATAGAAGTGTACCAGACGCTCGCTTCTCTGTTGGACTTTTCATTTTGGTGGCCACAGTCTCCTTCCTGTACGTTCCTTTACATCCTTCCTGAGATGAGAAGAGAGATCTTTCCTGTCAACAGCTGGAGAAAAGCGTACACTGTGATTAGCCCTGTGTTTTCCCATTTTAGACCCTGTAAATAAAGGAAAGCACTACATTTCTGAAGCCTTGCACATGTGAGAGTTTTCCAGTGTCTGTGAGAACTGTAGAGGCAGGTAACTCCTGTGGATTGAGGGCTGGAGGGACATGGGAAACAAGGGAGTGAGGAGGGGAGGTAGCAGCTCTCAGAATGACTTCATTAGCAATAGGGGGCAATTAGTAGTTGGGGGCAATGCAGCCTGCCCTGTCTTGTATTAGTCTGTCAGGCTTTCCTCTGCTGTTGCTTCACCCAGTGTATCTGTAGCTGGCTGTGTCATTTGTAGTTATGCTCTACTGGTTTTAGCTGAAGATGAGGTTCCTGAAAGAAACTTGATCTCCTCCCACTAAAATGTCCAAAATATGTTTATCTTATGTTACATCTTACAAAATGCTGTATTATATTTTTGACCTCTTAGTCACCACCTGTGTGCATCTTGTAACTTCGTATTAAAACTTTTATTTTTCCTGTTAGTTCAAAATAGAGTATGTTGTCAGACGTTGTTAAGGCAGTGTTTCATTTCAAAGAGTTAAGTACTGTAAACTTCTCTATACCCGAGCAAACCATCGAAACATTGTTAAATGGAGTTTATGTGACCACCTCCTTTTTATTAGGATGGACTTTTTTTGTTTTGCTAATGATGTGGATGGGTCTAGGTATTTTTGTTCCTTCCCCTTTCTCAATCTAGCTGTAACCACAGTGTTTTGTGTGTGGTGGGCTGAGTCGTGCTTTCTTGGCTGCCCAGGCAGTTTCTCTGATGGGTGATCCAGATCGTGCTGGTTCTGCTTTTGCACCGTTCTTGGGACTCTTCACCCGTGCAGTTATTTAAATAATTTAACTTTCTGTTCCATCTTTCTTCCCACTACTGATGTTTCTTACCCATCAGAAAAGTTGCTTGTTTTGTGTGGGAGGAGGAGAATCAAACTACAGTGGCCTTCTTTTTCTTCCCAGCTTGCAAAGCTTTATAAACTTTTGTGTCCTCCCCAGCCTTCACGACCATTTTTTCCTTTTTATCAGTAGAGCTCTGCAGAGAGGGGGAAGTAATTGTATTGTGGTCGTCTTCCATCTTATCCGCTTCAAGCCCTGTTTAAAGGGTTGGTTTGTTTGTTTAACTGATTGATAGTTCATGTGTGTTTATTTGGAAAGACAATTACTCATGAAGGACTAACAATTGCTTTTTCTCTGCGAGGTTATAATTTTGGACAAATTATTATCATATACCATTTCCAGGGAACAGGGAGGCAATAAAGAGTATGTGTGTAAGGGGAGGAGAACTTGTGTTCCTGTGTGTCTTGGTTTGTTTTGAAACGGGTGTAGTTTTAAATGAGTTGAACACTAATTTACTTGATATTGAAAGGTAATCCCAGAAAAGATGTTTGCTTCTTGACTTGTGTGTTAAGTTGCGTGCTGAAGTTAATTTTTTTTTTTTTCAGGAGATAAATGTTTTGATGTATGTCTGTGACTGACCAAAATTCAGCCTGGAAGCTTGTAAATAACCCAGTGTGGTAATGTTAATTTTCCACTAATCCTCTGTTTTGACATCTAAAAATAAAACGTTTCTAATCCACATTTAATAAGAACTCTTTAAGAGAAAAGGGCACTTTCAATTCTGCAACTGTTATGTGATTTTTCTCTGGCTTGCTTGAATAGCTGTTTCTGCTCATAGCAAGGGTAAAATTGTATTGTTTGTGTCATTCCCCAGATTGACCATTTCAGAGAGAATCATTGTATGGATTGCAATGTCAGTAGTTTTAAATAATCTTTCACATGGTTATGAATAAGATGAAGTCAGTCTATATAATGATAAAACTTGATTATACTTTCTGAAAACTGGATTAGACTTTCTCTAAATATACAAAATCCTGAAATTCCTGTTTTCAAATGTTTTTTTGCTTGGCAGTTGTAATGTGGCCATCCAGTCTGAGCTACCAGGTCAAAAGACTTGTTCTTCATTTGAGATTTTGTTTCTAGTACTGGAGAACACAAATATTATGCAAGCACACAACTGCATGGTTACACAAGCTTTGTTTACAACCCAAAGGTATTTTCCTTTGTCACACAGGAGCAGATCCAGTTCTACTAGTTGCATCTTGTAGCAAACCAAGTAGTGTAAATATTAACTGTTTATGGTTTAGACTGTGCAGGGAGGCAATAGCACCAATGCAAAAATGTTTTATTTGGAAGAGGTGGACAAATACTGCTCCAAGAATAGGTTTTTAGTCAAAAATCTAACAGCAATATTTAGTTATGTTGTCAGCAGAGTTCTGAATACAGTGACCATCTACAAATTGTGGGGCTGTTATCTTCTTTTGGTGGAGTTGAGAATGGTCAGTATGAGGTTAATGGTTGGACTAAATGATCTTCAAGGTCTTTTCCAACCTAGATGATTCTGTGAAAAGACAGAAAAATCTTTAGGAATCCAGGCCTCTCTTCTAACTGCATTGTTTCCTGCTGTTCCCCTTGGCTGGCCATCCGACTGAGTCGGGGAAAATCTGCCCTGCCTAGGTGTACCCCACAGCTCACTAACTGAAGCCCTGCTCGCCCCTTGTTCCAGCCTGCTCTTGGCAATACTTCTGGTGTGTGAGAAAACCTAAAAGGAGAGCTGTGACCTCCATCTGATAGTGCAGCCAGTTAAAACCCTGGACTACCTGAGATCTCTGCTGGAAATTAATCCAAAATGCACCGACTTCCATGTCCTCAGCATTAGCACATTGATAAGATGCCAGCTGTGCCTTCTTTGGGAGGTGGCACACGGTGACTCTGTCCAGGGGAAGGGGACTCCGGCCGAGCGATACCCTAAACCACTCATTTGGTCCTTGAGGTGTTTCAGCAGTAGGTGGGATCAACTTTGTTATGTCCAATACAGTTCTCTTAGAAAGTCCTTTTGGGGCTGCTGGCACGTCCTTGATGATAATAAATTAATAGTGAGAGCTTTGAGAAGGATCAGGCTTCTTTCTGTTAGTGAGATGCCACTGTAATGCCTCTTGCTCTAAATTGCCTCTATTTCTTAGCTGGGCCAGTAGACGTCAGTAACGGTCAGCCTACGTTGGATGGGTGTGGAGAGGCATGGTTGCCACCCCTCACAGTTAGGCTTGCAAAAGCCCTAAATGTGGATGTGTTTCTTCCAGCAAAAATTCTCTTTTTAGCAATGCTGTTGTTTTTATTAGTGGAATATCGTATTGAAGTAAGACAAGATACAATTTTCTGTCAGAGGTGTATTTTCC